TCCTGGTATTTTCATGGGAAACGTTTCACACCCATATTTTGCAATGGAAATCCCCCTTTTTTAAGTTTCGGAGATAGCTCCCGGGGCTGGATCATTGAATCTGAGTTTGCACCGTCCACTGACGGTCAACTAATCCAACGAGCCGGGTTTGTGCAAGATGTGAAGGCCAGAAAAAACTCGAGGTTGAATTTCTGGACGATCTTTTGTACGTTGCAGGGAGCCGGCTTTGCTAACCCACGATAGGGAGCTTGCTGACTTTTGGGAGAGCGTTGCTCTCAAAATAGCTTCCCTTAAGGGACTGTCTATTTTCGAGAGTTTCTAAAAAGCTTCTAAAATGCATTTCCCCCCTTTAAATTATAGGCAGGCCAAAACAGGGACAGACAGATCGATCAACCCCTCCTCCTGTGAATTTATGCTAAAGTAGCCAGTTTTCTCTGCATTCTTTGCAAACTTTTCCAAGGGGACTATACCACAATGTGGTGGCTTGGTGCGGTTCTCTGAGAGGACTATACCAGTTACCTAGGTGACTGGATCCCATCTTCCATCCCAATTGCTCAAGGTGGTCTAGATTTTCCTGGTGGTACCCTTTAGGGACTTTGTTTTGCTGAAGAGATGAAAAGGACCTGGTGATTTCTGGATTTATTAACAAGGGATGTACTGTTTATGGGAAGAAGGGAATGATAATTTGGGAGGGTGGAAAGTGTTAATTGTTGTAAAGAAGATCAGAAGTCACTTCTTTACATATTTCTTTTCTTTTTTCTCTCTCCTTGAGCTATACCAGTGTTTCTCAACCTTGGCGACTTGAAGAGGGGTGGACTTCAACTCCCAGAATCCCAATCCCAATTCTGGGAGTTGAAGTCCACCCCTCTTCAAGTCGCCAAGGTTGGGAAACTCTGCTCTAAAGAGTTTATCAGAACATGTGCAGAAGGCAGGTCTCTGGTCTTCCAGAAATCACAAAGTTGGTGTCGAGAGCTGGGGGGGATGGTTCTGGTGTCCCAAGCTGGCTTCATCCCTAAGCCACGATTGGGTTAACCAGGGTTGACTGGAGTCACACCAGAAGCGAAGAAGCCGTTTGTGGCTTTACGGGCTGCATGAACCAAGCCGTGGGTCGGTTTGCCGAATCCTCCTAGGCTGGCGCGATCTTCTAAACGCAGGCTGTGTTTGCATAAAGGGAAGGGCGAGAGCTAACCCCAATGCCTCCAAGCCAAGTTTAGCTTAGCTTAGCTTAGCACGGGGCAAGAATGCAGCTGCCTTGGCAGACGTCGCTGCTCTCCCGCTTCGGCTTTGCTTAGAAATCGAGAGCAGCCGTAAATGCATTAATGCGAAGCAGTCCCAGGCTTGAGAAGGAAGGATGACTCGGCCCGAAAGGAATTTGAGGGCGAGAGAGGCACGGACGCGGAGGAGCTCCTCCTGGCGAGGCAGCGGCCGCTGAGGCCACTGGCTCTACGCAGATGTCGGAAGACCCAGATTTCACATGCACCCCCCAGCACTGAAGCCCCGGGGGAAACGTCAGGGAATCGGGCGTAGCGAGTCTTGCCAAGGAAGGAGGAACTGACGCGTTTTCTTGGAAATACCAGAAAGCTGAGCACAACATTGTTCCTACTCCAACTTTCCCTTCCTTCCTTCCTCTCCCCTTCAATTTTCCTTCCTTCCTTCCTTCCCCTCCCTCCCTTCCCTTTCTTTCCTTTCCCTCTTCCTTCCTTCTTCTTTCCCCTTCAATTTCTTCCTTCCTCTTCCTTTCTTCCTTCTTTCTCTCCCTTCCCTTTCTCCTTTCCCTCTTTCCTTTCCTTCCTTCCCTTTCTCTCCTTTCCCTCTTCCTTCCTTCTTTCTCCTTCCTTCCTTCCCTTTCTCTCCCTTCCCTTTCTCCTTTCCCTTTCTCTTTTCTTTCCTTCCTTCCCTTTCTCCTTTCCCTCTTTCCTTTCCTTCCTTCCCTTTCTCTCCTTTCTTTCTTCCTTTCTTCTTCTTTTTTCCCTCTTTCTCCTCCTTCCCCT